GCGATTGTTTTGTTACAGAAAAGTTTCAGTTACATGTTACAAATGACGCCATTTGGGCATTTTAATATTTTTTTTTGCATTTTACACTCTGTATTACTAGTTTTAGTGTATCAGAAGATAAAACTAGGAGATGTATAATCCAATTTAACTTTTTACTCTTGTTGAGAAACAAAAAAGAGGAAAAACACATGAAAATGTTTGTAAGTCATTATGCATGCAGAATAATACTTGTGTTACTCGAACTTTCAGCTTTTTTCATACATTGTAATTCATATTTATTTATATTTTTTAATTCATAATAATTTATTCAATGCAGAAATGTGACAAAGTTTGAGATTTATTGTTACAGAAAAGCTTCAGTGAGATGTTTCTAAGCATTTGTGTTTTAAATTCTTAACTTGTTTTTCCCCTTTAATTGTATATTACTAGTTTTAGTGCATACTTTAGGACGAACTTCTCTCCATATTTCAAAAGTAAAGTGTCCCTGAAGTGTTAGTGAGGCAAACATTGCCTGTTTTGTAAGAAGTTTGAATGCGAGTCAGCAGTGCGTCTGTGTGGCCGCTAGAGGCGCCAGCGCTCCACCATAAACTTCCACACAACAAAGGAGTCTGTCAGCAGTGCACTCTAGCCTAAAAATACTCTCAAATGAAAGAGCATGAGATGAAAGAACACAGTTGCTCTTTGTGCGAGCAGATTGTATTGAACTGCTGCTGAAGTGTTCAGTCATATTCACTTTATCATGCCGGACATGTGTCTCTGTCTTTCTCTCGTTCTCTCTCTGACCTTCCACTCGCATAAACTCTTGCCTTATATGGGAAAAGAAGAGTGTGTGAGTGTGTGTGTGTGTGTGTGCTTAAAGTGAGATCAGGAGTTCCAGAAACAGCAGACAAGATGTCCTTGGCTCACTCTGAACTAATAAACACAGAAACACACTCATGTGCTGCAAACAAAGAGGTACTGGTGTGTAAAAACAGATTACAACACACACATTTAGCATTTTCACATGCTTGTTTGTAGTGTTTACAAGTATTAGTGTTTAATCTTGTGACCAAGCAGTCCATTTATGAAAGTGATATTGATCAGAAATGTTTCTTGAGCATTTAAAAGTGTAATAATATTTAATAATTCTACTAATTTGCTGATAATCTGAGCATTGATATATGTTAATGATACTATATTTAGCATTTAATAAGTTATTTTGAATGTTTTAGTCATTGGTAAATGATGTGTCCTCATTTCCAGTGTGTGTGTGTGTGTGTGTGTGTGGCAGCTGTGTACTGAGAGGCTGGATGCCATGAGAGGAAGATAAAAGGCTGAATGGATGAATAGACCTCAGGCGATACGAGAATACAAAAGGCAGCAGGAGTTTTACAGCACAATCCAGAAACAATAACTTTAAAGAGAGTGTGTGTGATATGTTCTGGTTGTGCAGACGCACACACATTCTTGTAAGTGTACTGTTAATGTGAAACAGATGTGCTGAGTGAGTGCTGCAGTTCTCCTTGTGGCCTGCAGGGGCGCTATTGGCTCATAAATGAGTTTAAATCCCGTTTGAGTTCGTGTGTGTGTGTGTGTGTGTGTGTGTGGGAGAGAGACTAGCAGCCATTTTGAACGCAGATCCCATTTTATGAATCACACACACATGGTGATATGGCTGTGTGTGTGTGTGCACCCTGGCGGAGTATAATCAATCACACATGCGCACACACACGCTGACCCACTGACAGAGATTTGAGCTCATGTTGTGTCGTGGTCAGATTAGTGATCTCTATCTAGTGTTTTGTTTCCTGCGATGTTTGTGTCTGTTGCATATTTGAGGTTAAGGTGTTTGGGTTGTGTTGGTGTTAAGTTAACTTAATCGATTTGTGTTGAGACAACATGAATGAGTCGTGTGGAAGCCTGCATATTTATATTTTACAGTGTGTGTTGATGTTTCTGTCGGCGCGTCATATTAGGAAAACCTAATTGTGTTGGTCAGACTTACAGCTCTGTTCCTGCTTTTGTGTGAGTGTGTGTGTGTGTGTGTGTGTGTGTGTGTGTGTGTGTGTGTGTGTGTGTGTGTGTGTGTGTGTGTGTTACAATATTAGCAGCCATTCTTATGAACTAAAGTGTAAAACCGAGAGTGATTGTGTGTGTGTGTGTGTGTGTGTGTGTGTGTGTGTGTTACAATATTAGTAGCCATTCTTATGAACTAAAGTGTAAAACCGAGAGTGATTGAGTGTGTGTGTGTGTGTGTGTTCAGAGTTTGAGCGTTTCCATATGCTGCTGTAACTCAATACACACACTCGGATGCCAGACATGAATGTTTTGCCTGGAAATGAGCTACAAAGAGGAGAACACAGCTTTTGAAAGCGTCTGAAAACGGAGGAGAGAAACTATTGAGGAAGAATAATGTATGTGAGTGTGAAAAAACACACAGGCCAGATTGCAGAGCAGCGCGAGATGATCTTGAGTGTGTGTTTTCTGGTGTGAGCGAGAGATTATTATACACACACACACACACACATCAGCTGATGGTCAGTGTGAACTTCTGTCTTCATGTTTCACTGAAGCTGCTGGACGCTTGACTCTTGACCTCTGACCTCCTGCTGCTCCTCACAGTCTGTCTTTAGAACAGAGAACACTGAAGTGTGTGTGTGTGTGTGCGTGCGTGCGTGCGTGCGTGCGTGTGTGTGTGTGTTTGTGTGTGTGTGTTTGTGTGTGTGTGTGTGTGCGTGTGTGTGTGTGAGTTCTTTTTTTGTTCAGATGTTTGTTGTTGAGTCTCTTTTCTTTGTTATTTTTAATTATGAGCTCATTTTTGCAGCTGTAAAGTAGCGTAGACCCAATATTCATGATTGTATTGTGTATGTTTTGTGTTCCTGTTGTGCTTTATCATTAATTACTCAAACTAATGTTCTATAATTAAAAAAAGCGATTAAATAAAATTTAAAGAAACATTTAAAATGAGAAAGAAGGCTACTTTTACTGATTAAACTAAAATCTGAAAAAAAAAAATA